GCCCTGGCCCCAAAGTCTATTTTTGGTATTCCCTGGGGACTTTGTTGCTCTGCTCCCCTTGCTGTTCTGTTGCACACACTTAGTGTTTCACCTCGGTGTGGTGGGATCAGATTGGGTGGAATTTCCACACTGTGTCTCCAGTGTTGTCCCCCGTAGGGCTATGGGTCAGTGAGGATGTCGTGTCTTGTGGTGGGCCCGGCCATATTGTCCCCTCTGTGCATTGGCTGCTCTGAGCAGGGATATCGTCCTCAAGACTTGATGGGCCAGGATGTGCTCCACTCTCTCTTCATCCCCCTTTCTTTGCTCCTGTGTGCTCTGATCAGACACGTCCTTCTCCCTGAGCTGCAGCTTCAGTGCTGTCCTCTGAAGTGAATTTTTCAGGGGGAGGGTAGGGGGCACTGTCCACATAGTTGGGATTGGGCCTCAGACCTCTCTACTGGTTCCTTGCTTCATGCTGGTATGTTGCATTCACATCTTGGGGCACCAGGTTGAAGTCTGGTCCCTCTTTTCCTGTGGAGAGATAGACTAGACCCTCCCCTTGGGTGGCTTAGTGCTCTGTTCCCCTGCTGCCCATGTCTTTTTTTGAGAGAATATTTTCTCATCTTCAAGTGCTGAAAACAAAACACTGCCATGGGTTTGATTGTTTCTCCTGACACCCTTTCCTTCCCAACCAGCAGCTCCTAGGTTTGAACCACCAGCTGAGCAGTTATCAACCCAACACCTCCCACCACCCCCACCAAAGGAGCTCCGGAAAGGAGAGCAGAGCATCTGTCTAGTGTTGAAAGGCCGGGAAAAAAAACGGCAGAGGGAGGTGTTTGCTTGAAAGTCCCTTAGGCCTCGCCCAGGGTTCTTGGTGTCTGTTTTGGAGTCTGAAGTGCTGCGGGACGTGTTTCCTCCTGCACGCCGAGCAGGTGCTCGCTGAGGCTGCGCAACACTCAACACCGACTTCAGGAACTCCCTGTGCCCACAGTTTTTACCCAAACTAATTGCCCTTTATTCTGCCTTGTAAGTCACAGAGAGGTGAGTAAAATAAACACCAGGTTTTCCATTTTCCTACAGTCCACAGGAATGGAATCTAAAGCCATCTGAATGAAAACCTTCACTACACTGTCATTCAGTAGCTGCCAACGGCCCCCTGAAATGCATGTGGATCACACCTCTCTTGGTCGTTCTGTTCTTTAGAAAACTATCCCTGCCCTGGACCCCCAGCCGCCTGTACAACTTTCTGTGAGTCTCTCACATTGGGTAGCCTTGATCTTGAGGATTCCCTTCTACCCCACCACTTGTATCTGGGGGTGAGGGGGTAATGATAAACCCCTCAAAGGTGCACTGGACTGCGCGATGCTTCCTGGTTGGAAGTCCCAAATAGAGCCCGGTGGCTCTGATCAGAGCTGGCTGGGGGATTGGGAAGGTCCAAGGATGACCCCCGGATGCAGAAACCCCTCATTCTAATGTTCCAGAACAGAGGACCAGCCGGAGCCAAATGTAAGGGATGGCCCCAGAGCCGGACCTACAGGTGGACACAGAGAAGCTTGGCTTCCGTCTTCCCCGAGTCCCACGTGACTCATGTGGTCTCCCACCAGGACCCTCTCTTTCTCTTTTCTTTTGAACACGATTGTATTCATTTGCACAGCTGTTGGCCACATCCACAGCAGAACATACACCAGGTTGACAGTTTGTACACGTATAATTCAGTTGTGCTTTCACCGTACAGAATCACGAAGCCTGCAGCTTTATATGTATCAGTTGGCTTGTTGGGGATTTGGCTCTGTCTGGCCATTTGAGTCATCTTCTTAAAGGCCTTGCCCTGTCCTTCCTGTTTGTCACCTGAAGGTATTCTTTGTCCGTTCCAGTTTCTTCTCCTCTGGGATACTCCTTGACAAGAGCAGGTGGTTCTTCTGCTCCTGTTTCCCAGGTGGGCACCCCCGCTTGACAGCGAGACTCGCGTGTACTCCCCAAACCGGAGGCTCCCAGGGCCAGTCCTTGGGTGAGGAGCCCCTTCCTGAGAATGAGGCCAGAGCCTCAGCCAGGGCCAACCCTGCAGGAGTCTTCCCGTCGGAACCTTCTAGCAGCTCGCTTTGCACTGTTGACCAAGTTGAGCCTCCACCGAGCTCCTTCTGACCCTACCCCCCAATGTCGAAAGCTATGCCCTCAGGAGGAGAGTGTTTGGAAGTCGATTACCACTGCCCTGCCCAGTCCAGGGAGGGGCGAAGGGCGACTTTCCCTCAAGGGACTTGCCTGGGTGAGTCCTTCACGATTTACACTTGGCAGATGAGGTCCACATGGTCCTACGTCATACCCCAACCATCCCTCACCAGG